GCCCCGGGGCAGCCGGCGGGGTTTCCAGGCTGCGCTGTCGACCGGGACACGCCGGGCGTCAGAGACGGGCCTGGGGAGGAAGGGAGGGAGCGGCTGCTGCGTTTGTTGGCTTCGTAGAGTTCAGAGGATCGGGTGGCGTGAAACACTTAGAACCCACAGTCGCAATGCGGGACAGGCGGTTTGCGGGGGACGGCAGCCCCCGGCGCGTTGGGGCGAATGAAACCGCTGTCCCGTGCGAGCCAGAGTGATGCCGGCTGCTGGGGTCCTTTTGTTACGCCTCGGGGATGCCGCTGCCCGGGACGGGAAGCAGCGCCCCAGGTTGTGACTAGTGAGGTCCGTCATTTGGGAGGTCCGGCACCGGTTTTTTTAAGTCCACTCCGCTTTGCGAGCCTTCCCCCTGGCCCTTGACTTCCGTAATTAGGTACTGTTGAAGTGAGCTTTGATGTGGTTTTTCAAACAAATTGAAATCTAGCAACCAGACGTCGTTGTGTGAAAGCATTCCCCCTTCTCCATAATTTTGGTAAAGTTTATTTTGGTTTGCAAACATGCTAAATGTCCACACCCCGTGGTAGTTAGGAGAGCTGTTGGGCCATTCAGAAGGGAATCGGGTTTTCTGGGCTGTCGAGCCGGTCCCTGAAGAAGGGTAGTTGCATGCAGGCGTGCAGCGCTGTCGGGTTTGTGCAGGAAGCTGAAACGCGGAGCGGTGACGGAAGCACTTGGCGAGTCCAGGTTTAGTCCAGAGAACGTTCTCAGCTGGGGGTGACTTTGGTCTCAGAGGGGACAAAGTCTGGAAACATTTTTGGTTACAACTGGGAAGTGGGGATGCTCTGGGCACCTGGTGATTAGATGCCAAGGTCGCCACTAAAACATCTTAGAATGCTTAGGGCAGCCCCCACAACGGGACTTCCTGGGACCACCGTGTCCTAAGGCAGAGGTTGAGATATCATGCTCCATTCACATGGTGCCCACACCAAAAGGAAGGAATACGGATTCCCACGCAGCTGCTGGCTGCCTTTTCTTGGTACTTAGCTTGTGTGTTTGGGTCCTGTGAGCTAGGCCCACCTGGTAAGTGGGTTGGGAGGGAATGGGAATTTGGGACTTTTTTCTTTGTATTGAAGCTTACCTGTTATGAGTCCCTGTGGCTCTTGAGCATTTGAAATGTGGCTCCTGCAACTGCGGAATTGCATTTTAAATGTTATTTAATTAACTGTCCACATATGGTGAGTGCCCACTAGTTTGGACAGCGCAGTTCTAGATCTTGGAAAATCACAACAAGGCCAAGAGAAGGTTGAGTAGTTTTATTAACTCATTTTACTGTTTTCAGAATGACACAGTAACCATCCGGACCAGGAAGTTCATGACCAACAGACTACTTCAGCGGAAGCAAATGGTAAGGAAGGGGCACATCACAGTTTGGTTAACTGTTCTCCTTTTTTAAAGATGTGTTACATTATAATAAATACTAAACTGGACATTTCCTTTTAGGTCATTGATGTCCTTCACCCTGGGAAGGCAACAGTACCCAAGACAGAAATCCGGGAAAAACTAGCCAAAATGTATAAGACCACACCTGATGTCATCTTTGTGTTTGGATTCAGAACCCACTTTGGTGGTGGCAAGACCACTGGCTTTGGCATGATTTATGATTCCTTGGATTACGCAAAGAAAAATGAACCCAAACACAGACTTGCAAGAGTAGGTATCTTCATTTTGTTACGGCTGCTGAAGACATTTTTCAGTAGCATTGTATTGTGGGTAGAGTTAAATAAGCAAGAGCAAGCAGTCGGGGAGGGACAACATACAGACCTAATGAGCTCTTAAGGGGTTAAGAGAATCCCTTGATAAAGGAACAGGTAGAGTCTGCAGCATTTGAGGGGATAGCTTTTGAGCTGGGTCTGGAAGGGCAGGTAAAGTATTATTCCTGGGGATAGGAACTAGAAGTGGGGGTGAGTTTGGAAAGATATAGGTTGTTGCCAAATAAAGTGAGATCCTTTGTACCAAATGTCTGAATTTGGACTTAACTCCCATAGGTAGCCAGGAGCCAGAGTAGTATTTGGGTAGTAAACTAAACTAGCAAGTAGATGACTTTTTTTTTTTTTTTAATTCTCACCTGAGGATATTTTCCCATTGATTTTTAGAGTGGAAGAGAGGCAAAGAGTGAAATATCAATGTGAGAGAAACATGGATTGGTTGCCTCCTGCATGCATCCTGACCAGGACCAGGGTCTGGGCAGGGGAGGAGCCTGCAACCCAGGTACATGCCCTCGGCCGGAATCAAACCTGGGAACCTTTGGTCCGCAGGCCAACGCTCTATCTACTGAGCCAAACCAGCTAGGGCTGGATTGTTAGTTATGTCTATCCTCTGAAGTCCTTTTTCTCCTTGCTATTAGATAAATCTTACAGAAGAGCTGTGAGGGAAATTATTGTGGTCTGGTAGATGTTGCACTCTTTACTGGGTGCTGGGAGGTGTTGAGATGACATTGAAGCTGAGAGCCTTGTAAAGATACGGACGAAGTCTTTTAGGCAGCAGGAACAGTAAGTGCAAAAGTGGAGAGTGAAGAGTCGGTTATAGCAGTTTCCATGGAGGGTGGGTGGAACTCATGGAAAAGGCTCCTTTGTCAGCTGGGAGTAATCTGGAGATGAAATGGAAGAGACTCTGAAGAGAAGGCGAATGTTGGGGGGCCTTGTTAGCTGTAGGTTCAAGGCTGGACAATAATAGCCGAGTCCCCTGAACTTACCATGCAGGGAGTGTTGAGTGGACATTTGTTTCCTGTGCTATTTATAATCATTGTTTCTTAATTTAAATCCCTTTCTGCTCAAGTATTAAATGCACCTGAAAAGTTTGGGGAGTTGCATTTCTTGAGCTCCAGCCTGGTCCATTTTCCTACCAGATTAGTGGGTAATGATGCTTTGCAAATAACCTATATACATTCCTTTCTCCTTCAGCATGGCCTATATGAGAAGAAGAAGACCTCAAGAAAACAGAGAAAGGAACGCAAGAACAGAATGAAGAAAGTCAGGGGGACTGCAAAGGCCAACGTTGGTGCTGGCAAAAAGGTATGGCGCATCAAGGAAAATACAGAGGTGTCAACTGCAGGTCTTTAGTTTCTAGAAAAAAGGGGTTTTGTTTTCTTTAATAACTTTTCTTAATGTTTCTTCCCTCCCACTACTTCTGGATTACAGAAGGTAACGTATTTGAGAAGCTATAGAATGTAGTATCCTAACACCACGTCAGTAGAGTAGCTTCTCCCACAGTAGCTTTGCCACAGCTCACAGATTAGCACAACACGGCGGCCACATTGGTTCAGTGATCACCCTGGTGGGCGCCTTGCAAGCCCAATCCGGAGTTTTCATTTTACTAATTGGCACAGGCTCACCAGGATGCAGATCTAGTTTTCTGAGACTGAACTTACTTTAAAATGAACAACTGGGTTAAGAAGCAGTTGAATCAATGTGGCCTGTGTTCTGGCATGCTGGAGAGGCAGCTGAAATCTGAATTGTTGACCTCTCCAGTTAGCCAAGACTTAAGTGATTTTAATGATGAGCAGCTTTTTACCAGCTTTGCCTAGCTAATTCTAAACAGTTGAATTAAGGTGTTGGGTTGTTAAGTTAACAAATAATCAAGTGTTCTGTGAACTTTTTTTTTTGCCTTTTCCGTCTTGGATTTCTTGTTCATCAGAAATGAAGTGTCTGGCAGGTACAGAGATTGTGAGCACGGTGTGGGATGCATCACCTTCACTGAGTTTGCTTTGATGCTTTGCATGTTGGCTTTTGAACAATAGAGTTTCACAGTGTGGTTTATCATAACACCATTAGAGGCCCGATGCACACAGTTCGTGCAAGAGTAGGCCTTCCTTCCCCCAGCTGCCGGCACCGGCTTCCCTCTGGCACCTGGGACCCGGGCTTCCCTCACAGCCCCGGCTTTGTCCGGAAGGTCATCTGGAAGGTCCTCTGGTCTAATTACCATATTACGCTTTTATTATTATAGATTGCTATGCTTTAAGATAGTGTACTGTGAACAAAGGAGGAAAGGTTTTAATCACGCTTATTTTGGAAACTCAAAAATGCATGTTCCGGTGTGAAGTGGAGGAAGGTGGATATCCTACTTCGTAGGCACCCTTTAACTTCACTTGGAAAGCTGTGTCTCAGAAAGTTACATACTCAGGAAATGGCTTTACTTAACACAAGGCTTGGGAAAGGTCCTCTCCACTTATGAGCAGTCTTTTCTTGGGGACTTGAGAGACATCCATTCTCTGCAGCTCTGATAATAAACTGGCCCAGGAAACTTGGCAAAGCTTCTGTCCTGGGATCCTCCACTCAGAGCTGCCTTTTATCATGCCATTGTGTTTTACTCAACTTTTCATCTGATAGAAATTCTAAATTTACTTACTGAATTTTAGAAAGAGGAATGGGAAGAGAGAGAGAAAGAAACACTGATTTGTTCCACTTATTTATGCATTCATTGGTTGGTTCTTATATGTGCCCTGACCAGGAATCAAACCCAAAACCTTGGTGTATCAGGATGACACTTCAGCCTGCGCTCTTTGGTCCCTTGAGTGTGGCTCTTCCACAAAATACTGGCTCTTCCACAAAATACCGACTTCTGCGCATGGGCTACGAAGTTTCAATCGCACTGTATATGTGCGCCCGCACGTGGTATTTTGTGGAAGAGCCACACTCAAGGGGCCAAAGAGCCGCATGTGGCTCACCAGCCGCAGTTTGCCGACCACTGCTCTAGCCAACTGAGCTACCTGGCCAGGGCTGATTTTATTTATATATATTAAATATTTTTATTGATTTCAGAGAGGAAGGGAGAGTTAGAGAAGCATCAATCAATGAGAGAGTCATTGATCAGCTGCCTCTTGCATATGCCCCTCAGTGGGGATTGAGCCTGCAACCCGGGCATGTGCCCTGACTAGAGATCAAACCATGACCTCCTGGTTCATTGGTCAATGCTCAGCCACTGAGCCACGCCAGCTGGGTGGATATATTTTTTTAATTAAAAATTTCTCAATATAATTGTATATTCACATGAAAGCCTTTGATGAATATGCTTTTCCTACACATACTTAGTCAGAATAGTGCAGTTCCCAATTTTAAATACATTTTGCATATTTGAGCAGTGTAAACCAGTTGTAACGTGACTGAGCTTGGGCTGGGAGTAGTAGGATTCTGAAACGGGTGGTCACTGCCCCTGTGTGCTATGACCTCCCCTTCTCTCCCTCTAGGCCAGGCAGTAAACGTGTTCTGCCTGCACAGAACTCAGATCACACTGACTTCCCAGCGCCATGGTTAACGTTGACAAACTGCCAGAGCTCTTATACCTACCTGTTGACAGAATTTCTGGAGATTGCAGAAAAGAATCAGTCCATATTTATTTGTCTTCTGATCTAGATCTGAAGGATGTTTAACAATTCTTTTTTCTTCATTTAGCCTGAGTCTCATATGTTAGTGCTCAGTGGTGACAGGTACAGAGGGGCTACCTGTGGGGACCTGAGCCATCACTGTCCTACTTCAAGTTGTACTGGTGCATCTCACTAGCACTGCTCTGAAAAGCCGCCTGGAAAATGAATGCATAAATGAGCACGTGCATTTTATTTTTTACTTATTTGGTTTTAGAGAGAGAGAAAGGGAGAGAGAAGAAAACATTTATTTGTGACCCATTTTTCTTTGCATTCAATAGTTTTTGCTGTCTTGACTGGGGATCTAACCCCCAACCTTGGTGTATCTGGATGATGCTCAATCAACTGAGCTACCCTGTGAGGGAGAGAACGAGCACATAACATTTTTTGACTAAAAAAAAAAAAAAAAAGTCAGGCATATTAGTGTTCCTGTTATTTTAGTTTTTGTTTAGGTATTGGTATTTGCTTTTTACCTTTTGAGTGCAATGAATTATTTTAAATTAAGGAATACATAATCTCATGTTTGAAGAACAGTTGAAGCATTTTTACCTTAGCTAAATTCTGCCTGTTTTAATATTAATTTGCACTACTGTTGTTAGCTGTGGATGGTGGCTTTTAAAGTATTGAGCTGAGGCACATTTTAAAAGACTTGCTTGATCATTTAGACCTCTCCCATATGGTTCCATTAGACGTTAGTCTGGGATGATTATCAAGTCTGTCGATGGTGCTAGTGTATAAGGGTGCCCAGCGCAATCAATGTTGCTGGGCAGAGCAGAGGTATGCCTACTCCATCTATAAGTAGGCAGTGGCAGCCTGGGTTGGGATTAGCGTTGTACTGATCTCTTCATTGTGAAGTCATCACGCCACCTTGTTTGCAAAAGAGCCTGAGTAATCAGGCAAGGTATTCTCAAAAATTGGGAGGAATAAAATCAGTGAGTGTGTCTAAGGAGTGTTCTATATACATTCTGCAAAGAAGAGAATGATCATCTTCGAGGTATCTGATTGCATGCACGTAAATGCAGATTATTTTGGAGTTTAAAAGGGACTATTAATGAATGTCTCTTCCCCCTCTTCCCTTTTCCCTTCCCTGCCACTGATTCAGTGAGCTGGAGATTGAACTACAGGTATATATAATTCAAGCTTTTCATTTAGAGCACTAGACTTCTTCATTTACTGACACAGTAATTTAAAAGTAGAGCATGCAAAGTAGATGTAGAAGTAGATTTACAAATGTGCTCAAGAGTTGTGTTTTAAATACTAATAGTGACATGGCTTTGTTTTTTAAATTTAGTAATATTTAACTCATTGTTTGTTTGTTTCCTAACTTGAATGTTCTATTTGTTTTTTATTTATTTATTTATTACATTCCCCCCCCTTTATTGATTAAGATATTACAACTGTGTCCTCATCCCCCCAATGTCCCCTCATCCCCCCAATCCTGCCCTCACCCCCTGTTGTCCACATCCATTACTTAAGCAAATGTTCTCTTTCTTGATGCTTACGTTGTGTCGTGATCATACAAACCTAACGTCATTCTAGGTTACTAATAATTGTTCTGCATGAATGTCATTAATTTTGGAGTTTGTTGATGACTTTGAACTTGAATTTTTAAAGTTCCGTTCAGCAGTTGCTAACTAAATTTTTTTTTCTTTGATTCACAGAAGGAGTAAAGATTCTTCGGTGACTTTATCTGTGATGGTTGTGCAGATTTTTCATGAGAGGATTAATAAACTATAAACTTTTATGTGTCTGGTTGTTTGATTTTTACTGGGTGTGTAACTAGTCTTCTGTTTATCGGACTTAAGATTGCTGCCCCCAAGTTCACATGTTCCATTAATCTAATTCACTGAAAACTTGGTATGATGGGGTGGCATTTATCCTTCCGTTTAACAGCACAAAGACATCAGATTAGAGAATGGGCAACGTGGGAGCATGCAGGGCCAGTACGGAGTGCTCATTTTACCATTCGCCATCAGTGTAATGGTGTTTCTGAAAGAGACACCTAAAATCTGATTCCTTTTTGTTCTTTCTAGAATGCACTTAGTTCTTGTTACTGAAAAGATTATTTGCTGGCCTTAATGAAAATCAAAATTATTAGGTCACATTTTTATTTATCCTGACTAGGATCAAAATTGTTACCTGTGTGTTGTAGGTTTATGCTTATGGGCTAAGTGAGTGGTTTATTATGAGTGGGGAATTTTTGTTTTGTTAATCCACCTGAGGCTATTTTTTCATTGTTTTTTTTGGGGGGGGAGGGGGAGACAGAAACATCAGTGTAAGAGACCCATCGATTGGTTACCTTCAGCAGGCACCCCTATCAGGACTCTGGGAATCAGAACAGAAACCCTTTGGTGCATGGGCACTCTAACTACTGACCCACACCAGCCAGGGCTGTAGAGCTTTGTTAACGGGATGTGCTCAGGGAGAGCAGTTAGTAGCTATAGCCTCTGGAGAAGGGAATTGTGATTAGGTCTGGCTGGGCTGGGATGTTGTGAAAGTCACAAATTGGCTGTCTCAGTCTGTAAGCTTTTAAACATGCAGAGCATTTTGAAAGGACAGATTTTACACAAAAATCCAGATTCCTAGCCTCTAAATATCTGGAAGTATCAGCTGGCCCTGCCTGGGGCACTTGGTAGGGTTTACAGGTGGGCTGCGAGCCTCAGGAGTGTTTGCTCTCCGGTTCCCATGTCCACTTGCAGCTAGCTTGCGCCCTCGTCTCCTGGGGGTCTTGTGTCCCCTCTGCATGCTCCTTACACCTTGTCCAGCTGAGTGGGCAAGTCACTTGGTCCCCTGATTGGGTTTAAATTGGGGCTCCCAAGGGTATTTGGTCTGCTGACCTGATACACGAGGTTGTTCTGATGGGCAAATGATGATGCATCTTTGAAACAAGTGCTAGGCAAGTGTGACTGGAAGCAGGAACTTGCAGAAATTCTCATTAAATTGTAGGCAATTGTGTTATTGAACTTCAGGGTTCTTGGAGATTCAGCACTTCCTTGGCCCTGACAGTAATCAGACCACACTGCTGCTGTCAACAGGCTTTGAAAGCCTCCATAAAAATGCAAGGTTGCAACAGGGAGAGCACATCTCCCCCTTCAACTTGCTACTAGCTGTGGGGGCGGGAGGAGGGGTGGAAGAGGGGAATGAGGGGTTTGAAGCTTTGGGAGAGGTAGCAGGAGTCATTGGAGGATGGTGAGCAGCTAGAGGTGGTTCTGAAGGCTGAAGAGTCCAGTGAGGAGTGGGGTGCTTTATAGCTTGGCTTAGAACTACACCCTTGAATTCCTTTTGTAGCTGCACATGCCAGATTGTCGGGCACCTTTTAACGCTCAGCTTTCTTCCTCGAAAGCTGATTATTTTGGGCTACTTAAAAGGCAACATCTTCCCCCTGCCCCTTGATAGCTCTCCTTGCGTCTCCCCCTGTCCGGAATCCAACTCGCCATGAATTCCTTACCACTTGGGCTTCTAAAGTGTAAAATCTCACCATTCTCCACCTCGGCACCAGCACACACCGCCTCTCCCGCCACCTTCTGCACTCCTGTTCTCTTCAGTCCTTTTCTCCTGCAGAGAAGGATCCTCCCACAACTCATGCTTTTTCGTGTTAAAACTTCCCTGTGATGTTCCAGTACTCTTAGAATAATGACCAAAATTTTACTGTGGTTCAGGAAGATTCTGTTTCCCAAAAATCTGTTGCTTCCTGCAACCAACCGCTGCCTCCAAGCAAAGTAGTAATGGAAAGGTGAGGGAGGGAAGCGGGGTGGGGAGGGGAGTTGGGCTTCAGGGGCAGCCCAGGGAGGATATGTGCGTGGTGTCACCACAAGGGCAGCTGGGGAGAAAACGGGATGACAGCAGCAGCAACCAGTCCTGTGAGTTTGCAGCATTGTCCCCTGGCAGTGCCCATCCCTCTAAAAGCCAGACTTGAGGGCGAGGGAAAAGCAACATCTTAAATACATCATACTCTTGGAGCCGAGGCAGCTGCTGTTGACTCTATAAACTATCTCTAATCTGCACAATAACCCTAAGGTCTTAACCAGACCCCTGTTGGAGAGGGTTTCGAGCCCCACCAACTAAGTGATGGAGCTGAGATTGGACTGCAATTGTATGACCCCAGAGTCTTTGTTGGGCACTTACTCATTCACTCAAATATTGAGTAGCTGTTTTCTGTAGAACATATAGTGGTATATATGACTCATGATTTATATGCCTACTATGTGCTCAGCAAGGTGTCTGTTGCCAGGGGATCATTGAACAAGTTAGATGGCCGACTGAATTCCCCATTTATTACTGAGCTGTGTGCTAGTCCCTGTCCTGGGAGATGGATGAAGGAGCAGCCCCTCCCCTCAAAGCTCACAGTGGGTTTAGCAACTTGAAACAGTCTTAAGGCCTGGCTTCTCCTTACCAGGAAGCACCAGACAGTGCGTAATTGTGTTAAGTTATGTCATAGGGATCCAGAGGCGAGAGGATCAATGCAGGGGGGCTGGTATTGGCTGGCTTCTGAGAACACCAAGTGGGGCAAGACATGTGATTGATCTGGACACAGGAGCAGGGGTCTCACTTGGCGCCATGGAAGATGGGAAGGAACACGGGGCTGGGAAGAGCAGGCAGCTGTGGTGTGAGGCAATACCAGTCGTTCTGCTGTGGGAAGAGGAGACCAGATTGGGGAGGGTGGGAGCAGAGCGCAGGTAGGCATTTTCTTATCAGTGAGCCGAAGGCCCTGTGGTGACTGGTGGCTTCCAGCAGCTTGCACAATGCATCTCTGGTAGGAGAAATTCCATTTCAAAAATAGACTTCAGGTTGGCTGCCAGAGTACAGAGGCATCCCACTTTGACTCGTTTGTGCTGACAAAGCAGAGGCTTCCCTGAGCTCTAGAGCTCAGTGTGGGCCTAGGGAGCGAGCAGACTCCCACACTTTCATTTGACCTTGCACGCCCACTCACCTTTAAATGTCTGTAGGCCAGACATTGCAGCAGTGAGACCCCCAGAATAACAAACTCCGCAATCTGGTTGGGAGATAGGGTACAAGCGAGGTTCTGGTGGGAAATGAGACAGGAGAGCTCATCAGGGAGGTGGTCAGGGCGGACCTGCTATGCCGAGGATTTCTCTCCAATAACGTGGTTGAATGAATCTGCCGGAGAATTGGATGTTCAGCAATGGATTGAGTGTCCTTGGCACATGCTGAATTCCTCCGCATAGGAGATATTTGAGCTGTTGGGCTGCTCACCATGTACGTAGGAGAGGGGATTTGCGCAGGAGGTTAGGGGTAGATGAGATGGAATCCATGCAGTTTAGCTTGGGGAAAAGCTAGACTGGCATCTGGAGACCTACTTTCTGACCCCTACCCCTCCTCCAGCCAGCTGGGGCCATGGAATTGGCAAGGGATTTCCCTTTTCTGGGCCTCCATTTCCCTGTCTAGGTGTGGTACAAGGGCTAGATAAGTGGTTCCCAAGCCTGGCATGTGGAGGCTTGTTCAAAATACAAATGCCCAAGGCCCCTGGTCCCAGGAACCCAAGCATCTGAAGTTGAACAACTTCCAGATTGGTATGCTGATCAGCTAGGCTAGGGAAACGGAACTGAAGAGTCTGAGGCCCCTTCTGCCTATGAGAATTGTGTGTCTCTAAGCAGGAGACCTGGTCTCTGGCCACAAGAAGCTGGCATATAAACAGTGATTGTACTATTACTTCTGCTAATAAAATAGTGATGACAGCAGAATAGTTTTCTAGGTGCCAGGCACGTAGTAAGCCTGTTGTGCAAACTATCATATTTACCTTCTATAACTACTCTATGAGGGAGGTACTATTCTTATTTATTTATTTTTTAAATTTGTATTTATTTTTAAAATATATTTTCTATTGATTTCAGAGAGGAAGGGAGAGGGAGAGAGAGATAGAAACATCCATGATGTGAGAGAATCATTCATTGGCTGTCTCCTGCACACCCCCTACTGGGAATCGAGCCTGCAACCTGGGCATGAATCCGTGACCTGAATGAAAACCGGGCCCCTTCAGTCTGCAGGCAGATGCTCTATCCACTGAATGAAACCAGCTAGGGCTCTTATCCCCATTTTATAGATAGAGATTGAGGCTCAAAGAGGTTAAGGCATTTGGTCAAATGACAGAGCTTTGACGTTCTGTGACACATCTCTGGACACTCTTGGAACTTCTAAGGAGCTTGTACTGAGTCTTGATGGTTGCAGAGAGATTAGCAGAGCAGTGCTTCTCCCAAAGGGGTCCCGAACAGGCAGCATCAGCAACTGGGAACGCTTAGAAATGCAGGTTCTCAGGCCCACTCCAGAACTAATCACAAACTGAGGGTGGGGCCCAGCAGCCTGCATTTTAACGAGTTCTCCAGGCGATTCCGATGTGGGCTGAAGTTTGAGAAACACTGAGCTAGGGGGACCGAGGGGAAGGCATTCCAGGAGGGGCAGTTGTGGGGACTAGAAAGGGTAGTGGTATACCCCTTCGCGGACCTTCCCTTTGGCGGAGTAAAGACGGCTGATAAGCCACATGGACTCCCACGAGGGGGCGCTGTGGGCACAGGCTTGGATGCTGCCTGCTTTGTTGTCAGGGCTGTACCCTTGCGGAAGCATGAAAAAAGCCTGCTGCCACATCAGCTGGAGAGGTCACTTTCTTCTTAGAGAAGGTCTAATGGGGGTGGTAATCTTGTTTATAGGACTCAGCCTTCGCCGGGAAGCTGAATCTGCAGGGCTTGCTGCTGTTCACATGTGCGTGGCGATGCCCACTCATCCATGCTGCAG